CTTCGGTGAATTAGATTTCAGTTCATTAGAAGGAATCTTATCTTACTCTCTCTCGCCGTCAGTTACTTGATTCGAGGTCAGTTTCGGAGAATTACGTTTCGTTTTTGATTTTTGTTCTGTTTCTGAGAATCTAAACGATTAGACAAATCTGTGTAAATATTTTCCTCTGCTTTTTTCTCTTCGTAACCACCGGATTTGATGGTCGTGGGGTCGATTTATTTTGGAAACTTATCTTTCTTATCTTCGATGAATAGTGATTATAACTTCGTATGGTTTCGAATAATTGAGAAGAAATGGTTAGGAATTATAGGATTTGGTATTCAGGTTAGGTGGAAATTGACTGATTCTAGGTTCAAATTTACCTTTGAAAGAAGTATTATATTAAAAAAACACACACTAGTGTTAGGTGTATACTTGCTTTTTATTTATTTATTTTGCGAATCATTGTTGTTGTACGTAATCATTGAGAAGTATTCGTATGCTTTTAACTTTTGTTTTTTTTAATAAATTTAGGATTCGTCACACTGTAAGCGAAAGATCAGTTGAATTTTCCAAAAGGTTTTGGCTGATGATGATGGCATTTAGCCATGATAATCGTGTAAGGTTAGTTTGTTCGCATCAATCTTGTCTCTACATTAATAAATGAATGATTTTTACAGTATTTAAAAAAAACTCTCGTATAATTTTGTATATATAGGTTCAAAGATGAAGACAAAACATTATCCACTGAGTATGGTTATGAAATGAAAACTAGACCTTCTTTAGATAGAGTTATGAAGAATGTTAAGTGGGGATTTGAGAAAGGTTCTGAAAAAATCAAAATTTTCAAGAAACCATTGAGTTTCCGCGGTTCGCATAAAGATCCTGGTCAGAAAAACCAAAAGGAAAAATCTAGTACTACTAAGAAGAACATTATAAACCCACAGGGTTTGTTTCTACAAAACTGGAACAAAATATTTCTCTATGCTTGTGTGGTTGCATTGGCGATTGATCCTCTGTTTTTCTACATTCCTATTGTCGATGGCGCGAAGCACTGTCTTAGTTTGGACTCAAATCTGGAGATAGCAGCGAGTTTGTTTCGTACACTCATCGATGCCTTTTACATAATTCACATTGTGTTTCAGTTCAGGACAGCTTACATTTCTCCATCTTCTCGGGTTTTCGGAAGAGGAGAATTGGTAGATGATGCTAAATCAATAGCCTTAAAGTATCTCTCATCTTACTTCATCATTGATGTACTTTCTATCCTTCCTCTCCCACAGGTAATGGACTACTTTGATTGGTTTATTCGAATTTGTCGATGATTCAATGGTTGAATTTGAATCCTCTGGGTTTTTCTTATGTTACAGATAGTAGTCTTAGCTGTTATTCCAAATGTCAACAAGCCAGTATCATTGCTCACAAAGGACTACCTTAAATCTGTCATTATTGCTCAATATGTTCCTCGGATTCTTCGTATGTATCCGCTTTACACCGAAGTGACAAGGACATCTGGTATTGTTACTGAAACAGCATGGGCTGGTGCTGCTTGGAACCTCTCTCTCTACATGTTAGCAAGTCATGTGAGTTTTCGAGATCGTTGGATAACTAAATCTTTGTAGATTGTAAAAAAGCCTTTTAAAGATTGATCAAGTCTATATGTTGAACTTACTTATTCAGGTGTTTGGAGCTTTTTGGTACTTAATCTCGATAGAACGAGAAGACAGATGCTGGCAAGAAGCGTGCAAGAAAAGAAACTGTAATATGAAAAATCTGTATTGTGATGACAATCATAATGTGAATAATGATTTCCTTACCACTTCTTGCCCATTTCTCGACCCTGGTGAGATTAAGAACTCAACGGCCTTCAATTTTGGCATCTTCACTGATGCTCTAAAGAGTGGTGTTGTTGAATCACATGATTTCTGGAAGAAATTCTTCTACTGCTTCTGGTGGGGTCTGCGAAATCTAAGGTTTGGAATTAAACACACACTAAACCATTCTTGAACACTTTGGTTTCACACAAACTAACTAGCCAGATTGTTACAGTGCATTGGGACAAAATCTCCAAACGAGCAAATTTGTTGGTGAAATCATATTTGCAATATCAATTTGCATATCTGGACTAGTCTTATTTGCGCTACTTATCGGTAACATGCAGGTAATCCTCAAAGAATCTCTTCTTTTACTTGACTTGTTCTATAACACATACAAGTAATTTAGGAAACTCATGTAGTTTTGTGTTTGCTGATGCAGAAATACTTGGAATCAACAACGGTTAGAGAGGAGGAAATGAGGGTTAGGAAGAGAGATGCAGAGCAATGGATGTCTCATAGAATGTTACCTGAAGACCTGAGGAAACGTATCAGAAGATATGAACAATATAGATGGCAAGAGACTAGAGGTGTCGAAGAAGAAACCCTTCTTCGCAACCTACCTAAAGACCTTAGAAGAGACATTAAACGTCATCTTTGTCTTGAACTTCTCAAGAAAGTAAGTACCAAGCTGTCTCTCTTCTCTATTCTTCCTCCATTAATATCATCCAAAACCAAGAATCTTAGTGCAAAAAATTATATGATTTGTTGTTTTTGGTAGGTACCTATGTTTGAGATAATGGATGAGCAATTACTAGACGCGGTTTGCGATAGGCTAAAACCGGTTCTATACACAGAGAACAGCTATGTGATCCGTGAAGGAGATCCTGTTGGAGAAATGCTGTTTGTGATGAGAGGAAGACTTATGAGTGCCACTACTAATGGAGGACGAACAGGGTTCTTCAATGCCGTGTATCTCAAGGCAAGTGATTTCTGTGGAGAAGATCTTCTCACATGGGCATTAGATCCTCAATCTTCGTCTCACTTTCCGATCTCGACAAGAACGGTACAAGCTCTCACCGAAGTCGAAGCCTTTGCTCTTGCAGCAGAGGATCTCAAGTCAGTCGCTTCACAATTCAGACGCCTCCATAGCAAGCAACTCCAACATACTTTCAGGTTCGGTCTGATCATCAACTTCTCTGTTTGGTCCGGTCCCGTTCGCTTATATTGCGAGACTAAAGTTAAGAACGTTTAGTCCGTCTAAAATTTGGCCGGTTTTTATATTTTTATATATGGTATATGCTAATTTGGACCGGGTTTCGCGTTTATTGCTAAGTTGGACCGGTTTTTATATGTTTTTCATATGGAGTTGGATTGGTTAAAACGATTCTTGATTTGATCTTACAGGTTTTATTCGGTGCAATGGAGAACATGGGGAGCATCTTTTATACAAGCGGCGTGGCGGAGACACTGTCGGAGGAAGTTAGCCAAAACGTTACGCGATGAGGAAGACCGTCTACGAGACACGCTCGCTAGTCAAGAACAAGAACGCGAACGCAAACGCGATGCTGCAGCCGCGTCTTCGTCGTTGAGTCTTGGAGCCACTATTTACGCATCGCGTTTCGCATCAAACGCGCTTCACAATCTGAGGCACAATATCTCTAACCTTCCTCCTCGTTACACTCTTCCTTTGCTTCCTCAGAAACCAACCGAGCCTGACTTCACTTCCGATCATACAAGTGACCCTTAAATCACTAGTAACCATATCATGTGTATGTAAATCTGTTAATACTTGATAGTACTAATGTTGTTTTGAATAAGGTGATGTGGTGTGTAACAAATGTAAAGAATATTGTTAATAAGACTTGTTGTTTCATATGACTTTTAGAGCTCTTTTTTTTTTTTTATAAAGGGCTTTCAAATTAAATGCAAAGGTAACAATTACAATGATATGATGACGAGATCATATAGTTTGCGAGAGTCTTTTTATGATAAAAGATAAAGAATACACCAAAGTAGGCTCATAAGAGAGATAAAGAAGCTCACTAAAAACTCCTAAAAAGATTGTTCGTGGTCGACTCGGCCACCACGTCCTTTTTTACCTCGTCCTCTTACCGTGGTCCATTTCATCTCTTGAACTTTTTGCGTAGGTTTGATCGACCTTCCGCCTCTAGTCTTTTGAGAAGCAACATCCATCTCATAACCCGAATAATCTCCCGAGTCTAAGGCAGCCAAAAGATTGCTTCCAAAAACCTTCCCTTGTACAACTTCATTACCCAATGAATCTATAGAAGGGTTTGGGAAAGTTACCAAATTAGGAGTAATACTTGTTGATGTAGTGATTGTGACGATGTGAGAAAAGGTACTTGCTACATTGATGGTAGATGCAAGTTCAGTTGGGATAGCCTTTGTCACGACTAGAGTTTGTTGGGAAGAGTCAGCGTTTGCTACCGCAGTTGAGGAAGACAAACCAATTAAGTTGACAATTGGGGTTGATGGTTCAACTTCAGTGAGAGGGGCAGTGACTTTACCTATAGTAACAACTTGAGGAGCAGCATCAGAGCCATGAACATGGACTGGAGAAGCCAGAATAGGAGTTGAAACAACAAGAACAGGGGCTGGAGAAGCAATAACAGGAGGCTCACAAGCAGCAAGATCATGAGAGCTAATAGAGGTAACTTTTGGTATTGCACTAACAGTTTCATTATATTGACTAGGAAGGAGACACCTCGATTCCTTGTGACCTAATTGTCCACATCTTTGACATTTAGATGGAATCCAAGAGTACAAAACTTCGACCATTGAGACATTGCCTTGTAAGTCTGCAGCTGCAATCTTATGGGGAAAAGCCTTATCTAGTTCTACTTCCACCATTAGCTTTGCATCACCTATTAGATTCGGGTCTAGCCTTGGTTTGTGGGTGAGCATTGGTTCCCCTAAACCTGAAGCTATCCAACTAATTCCCCATTCCGAGTAAAGAGAAACTGGAATGTTTCTTAGTGTGACCCACATTGGAATCGTAGTTATTTCTAGCAAAGCTAAAGAAGCACTAGGAGTCCAAGGAGCAACAAATACAATGCAATCATCAAAATGCCATAGCCCTCTCTGTAAAACCCAATCTCTAGTACCCTTATTCGGAATATGAAACATATATGAGGATTCTCCTAGTTTACGAGTGAAGATCTTACACTTCTTACCCCAAATTCGGTTAGCTACTGCGTGTATGAGACCTCCCGAAAGCAGAGAACAACGATAGAACTGCCCAATTACATATTCTTTTTGATTCTCAACTCCCTGCATCAAAACATGGTTTGGAATCTCAACCATAGATGTACCATCCTCCATGTAAGTCGGTGAAATGGTGCGATGGAGATTTCTGATTTTTGGATCCATCTTTGCTGCCCAGGGAAACCGCAACTGGCCATTCTCCTTCAACTCTGGCGGAAGAATATCTGAAATTGGGCGAGCAGTACCTCTAGATGTTAGGGTTTTTTATGGTGGCTCATGGGGGATTGGGTCTTTAAGCTCCACTGAAATCTTCAGTGGTTTCACCCAAGCACCTAAAGAAGGAACAAAAGGAGTAGAGATAACTTCTGGCAATGGTGAAGTGACCACATTCAAACCAGAGCCTTCGATAGTGGTTTGTACGGCTGGAATAGAGAGCAGCGTAGGTGGCTCGATAGTTGTTGACTCCGACGCTGTGGAGAAGATTTGAGGGTTTGGATGAACCTCTGAAATTGGTGAACACGAATCCATGGAGATGAAGACGGAGGTTGTAAGAGATAGGAGGTAGGAAGAGACGAAGCTCGTCGGCGTAGAACCAGGCGAGTAGCCGGTGACGAATCCGCAGCAACGGCCATTTAGAGCTCTTTGTTCGTTAATTAACGATTAAAACATATAATTAAAAACTACGTAATCGATATCTGAAAAATACACTTTACGGAAATAAATTTATTTTCTTCAAAACTGGCTCTGCCTGAGAGAGAGCATGAAATATAGTGATGATTCTGTGTACGTAAAAATAGAAGGGCACAAACAGAATAATTCAAAAAGTGTAACGATAAAAAGAATACCGAAGAAATAAAACAATCCCTCGAAGCCCATTAACGGCTTAAAAGGCCCTAAAAAGGTAAGAAATAATCCCGAAGGAAGGAAATTTCAGTCAAAGCGAAAAAGACGAAAAAGGACATGGAAAGAGAAGATAATTACAATAAAAATGCCACGATCGTCCATAAAAATCCATTCTACCCATATCTGACTATTGAATCTCCGCCCTTCCTTCCTTATCACTCACAAATATTTA